AAAAAGGCCGCCATGTCCTCTCTCAGGTTTCTCTCTGGCTAAGGTTAATAAAGACTCAAGGGCTTCACACATGAAACGCATAACAGAGCATAAGCATAACGTAAGGCCGTTAAACCAATGAGCATCTTATGTAAATCAATATGGCGACATTATGCTAGATGCTCATTGGTCCAGCAGTCTTATGTTATGCTTATGCTCTGTTATGCATTTCATGTGCGATACCCTTCAATGCAATAATGCCCGTAATGCCAACGCTACCAACGCTACACTAATGTCGTTCGCGGAGCTTGCAAACGCTATCGCGTTATTGGCTCTACGAACAGCATTGGTAGCGTTTGCGTTCATAGCGCGAATAGCGTCTCCCCGAACGCACCCGTCTTTGGGCGCACGAAATAACTGCAGTGCAATCAAAAAGGCGCGCAAGGTGAATAGTGAAGTGAGTAACGAAAATTGAAAGCGTTCGACCTTTTGCAAATGTAGTTTGAAATTGCGAGTTTCTCCTTTGCTGTATTTGCATACGACGTTAGTGTTGGCTAATAATCGAAAACAATATAAACTAACGTTTCATATTTGTCTCTCGAAGCAGAACTAAGCAAAACAAACAGACTAATGATTGTGTAGGTTATATACCTGTTGCGGTAATTGTATAAATTGTACGTGTCTAATGTGTCACTCGCAATCGGTTGGAGTCAACCGAGTATTAAGTATATATAGTGTTATTTTCATGTTTTTAGATTAGTCAATCAGATTATTTTGTCTAAAATGGATTCATCTTCACGCGAATCATCAGTGGAATTGGAAATTGTAGAGGACGAGTTACTCGACGAAGTGTTATGTATGAACAATAAAGAAATTGTCGAATCTAAGCAAAATGACACAAAGGAGAGCGGCGTAGAGAACAGTCCTTGGTACGAGGATGAGGAAGACACAGACGTTTACAAGAAGAACTATGAAAATTCAAATGCACGATGTATCAATGTCCAAATGGAATCTGAAGAGGGACTAAACAATATCAAGTGCACAGAGCACAAAAATAACATGAACAGGCCAGATAAATTGCATACTTGGCGCAAGAGGACAAGGCAAGACAATATGGATCATGAACATACTAAGATTTCTCGTAACAGACGCTACTCCAGTGACTCTAGTACAACCACCAATTCATCAGAAAATGATAAAAGACACGTAGAGTATGAGACAGATCCAGTTGTACTAGCACGTAGACAAAAAGAAATTGATTATGGGAAAAACACTAATGGATATGACAGATATGTTAAGCTGGTTCCAAAGTAAGTCTCATAAGATTAATATGGTAAAAGGTTGTTATTTGTTGCATATATATTTAATTAAAATCGATTTTTTGTTTCAGAGAGAAACGTACGCGAGAGCATCCAAGGACACCACCAAAATATATAAAATATAGCAGAAGGGGTTGGGATGGTATGATGAGGTTGTGGCGGAAGCAACTTCATTCTTGGGATCCTCCTCAGGAGAATGACAAGGTTGACAAATAGACTAAAAGTCATTTTGTTATTCCGTTTATAATACTGCCAATATTATTTTCCTTAATTTATATTGCAATCATTATTTTAATGCCATTATTGCGTATTACTTCTAGTTTTTGAAACAATTTTATAATATATAACTAATCATATAATATAAGAAATATAACAAAGTGATATTTCTGTTCTTATTTATGTAATTTCATAATCGTTTTTAAAAAGTTTAGTTACATAAATGATTTTGTATAAATAAAATAACATTAATATGTATGTATTAAACTCTTAAGACAGGGTTTGCAATTTTCTACTATTTAGACAAGTTAACCCTAGCTATACACACTGCGGCCCCAAAAATCTCAGTGCAATTTGCTAAATCGAGATTTTTTTCATGGTTCTGAATTTTTCTTTTTCTTTGAACCTATATATTTCGAAATTACTTAATTCTATCGATTTTTACACATCGTGGACTTATTCCTTAATTAATTCTCCATTGATTAAAAAAAAAAATTAATTGAAATATATCCATTTTTATGGAAATTATAGTAACAAATATGGATAGGGACCCAAGTGTGTATATTAAAGAAAAAAAAAGTATAGCTAGGATTAAGATATATTAAATTTAAGTGAATTAAAAATTATTTAAATATAAATTTGAAAATGTGCAATTTTTTGTATATGCTTTTGATACAAAATTAGAAAATAGTATACTATCATATATGATAAATGAATACAAATTTATTCTAAGATTACATAAAAATAATAAAAGGAACTTTATATTTTGTTAAAATAAGCCAGATCTTTTGATTAACACAAAAGCAAAAAAATATATTCAACAAATTATTCACTATTTACAGTTTTAAGTTACATTAAATATCTGATAACTTAAATTTTCTCTTTTATTAAATATAAAAAAAATTTATTGAAATTGTTACTAAAACGTGTTTTAATTCAATTCACTCTATTCACTTACAAAATATTCGGAAATAAATTGTATCAAATGCTACCACATAGATCCACACACATGCTCTCCCCTATATTATAATAAAGAATATATTACTCTTAAAATAAGAAATTAATAACTAAAAAATACATTTACTGTACATTCAGCCGTGATTCAAGTCTTTCCAAAATAGCATCTAGTTTCTGATTGGTACTCGCTTCCATCTCTTTTATTCTTTCCATCAATCTCTTTTCTATATCATGGAATTTATTGTCGATATAGATTCTAATATCTATATCGGATTTCTTATTATCTTCTCGGTTTGTACAATTTTCATCGCTACTTCTTCTTATATTTCCGTTTTTACATTCAAAAGAATTCAATTGTTCATGATCAGCCTCGCAATTCCGACATTCTTTTTTATTATCTCTTTTTGAAATTTCATTTTTCCATTTGAAATGATCCGAGTCTGATGTAAGAGTTTCCAAAATTTTCTGTTTGAACTGCTCGTTATTCGTAATTTTATTATTATCGCGGTTATCGTAAAATTCAAACATTCTTGTTATATTAAATTGTTGACTTATTTTACCAAGAAATATATTACTGAGAAATGTTTGGATAAAATCTTTATCATTGACAATACCGGATTTTGTCTCTTTTATAGACTCTGTCTTATTATCAATGCAAGTTTTAATATCTGATCTTTCATAATTCTCTCCACAATTTGGATATTCCGTTTTACTATTTCTTCTTTCAATTCTATTTTTACATTCGGTAGCATTTGACTGCTCATAATTATCCCCACAATTTGAAAATTGTTTTTTATTATTGCTCCTTTCAATTTTATTTATATACTCGTCATATTTTGAGCCTGCAAATGTTTCCAAAAGTTTCTCTCTATATTTCCTCATACTTTCCTGTTTACCGTCAAATACTCTCTTTGCCATCTCAGACTCTTGACTCATTTTGCCATTGCTAGCGTTATTGAGAAAAGTCTGTATGATATTGTCAAAGGCACTAGATTTTGCCTCTTTTATAGAGTCTGTCAAAAACAGTCTTATACCATATATCCACATAAGAGGGCCTTTATTTTTTGTTCTAATAAACTAGAAAGTAAACATTATTAAATATTTAATTATGACGATCATTTATAGTTACTGAAGATAATCCAAACGTGAATTAAAATATTTTGTTTTTCAATGTTTACTTAACAATGTATATATATTTATTTAGTATTGGCTCTTAGAAGTATTTACTTGTACTTGATTTAAATTTTATTACATTAAATGTAAAAAATCAAAGTATACATGTAAACAACAGCCAGCTTACCTTAATACTAATTTCCGTAGTAGGAGGATGTATTATAGTTTCACCAAGGAATACTATATTTTCCTCGTATTCATCTATAAACTCCGCGTGTATCGTTGTTTCATATTCTCCAAATTGTTTGAAGATTTCTAGGACGTTACCTTCAGAAATAATAGCAATGCGTGCTATCTTCTGACAATTTGATACTTTAATATTCAGCATACATGGTTCTGTATTAGAACCCATTGGTTGTAAAGCAATACAAGTATCCACAGAAGCTACGTCTTCGCAGTTTATTCTGCAAATGTTTATATTATTTTAATATCATGTTGTTAACTGAAATGTTAATAATGTGCTGTTATAATCAAATTACTTACCTTGCAGATGAGTACTGCATTGGCGTAATGGTGACGGCATCAACAAATTGCTTATTATTGCTGATCTGCCAGTTACATGAGATTGACAGGAGACTGTCGTGGTGCTTTATAGATAGTGATGCATGCAACTCGCCAGTGTTTTCGGTATTCATTATCTCCATAATTCTAGTATAATAGATGGTCACCTTTTTGCAAATAAAGCATATACCACAATTACACTTTGCAGTCTCAGAAATCTATCTGCGATTATCCGCATTCTCTTAGACGATATCCATTCTACTGTCATATGCGCCACGTATAATCATGCACGATGACATTCTCCTTGAATTGTTTTAAAGGAGAAGAAATTGAAAGAGTATTCAAAAACAACACACAACCGTTTCTGAATAAATGATTTTATTTATATCGACTGTGCTCGAACAGAAATTGGTGTCGCTGCATCGTCGAGTTTGAAAATATTGAGCTCCTGTTTCTGATAACCGACTAACTTCAAATTCTATACCACTCTATACCAATTAAATCAATACAAACTACAAACGTCAAGATAAAAAAGAATACCTAAGAATTATAAAAATAAGTATGTCTAAGGTGCGTTCCATCAACGACCATCATCGACGAGAAATGAGGTCTGTTTTTTAGGGTGCCGTCACATGCGGCGTAACCTGCGTAAGCGTAACTGCGTATTCTAGTAATTTAAGGCCCGTCTACAATACACGGAGTAAGAAGTAAGAGTAAGAAATTGACCAATCACAGTCGATTATTCTTCTCACATCGACTGTGATTAGTCAATTTCTTACTCTTACTTCTTACTCCGTGTATTGTAGACGGGCCTTAATGCAATCAATTGCTGATTAGAATTTCTGTTGTACACTGTAACAGAAATGCTAAATGAATTTGCGATTGGTTTTCGTAACCTACGCATCTCGAAAAGTACGCCTCATGGGGAACCGGTACCTTTCCATCGCGTATGTATGAACGGATGATCAAATAAATTATTAA